TTAATTAGAAAAAGGTGATTTTAATTATTAAGATGGATGAAATCATTATCACGAGCTAGTCAATAGAAAAATGCCCAGCCTATGATAGCAATCAATAATTTATGCTCATAGACAAAACAAAAAAAACTAATTAAATCAATCAATCAATTAAAACAAATAAAATAGATGTAACCAAAAGTAGACAAATAGGAAGTAAAGTGTAAAGATAATGATAATGATAATGAATAGCAAGAAAGGAAGACGTTTTGGGTGGGAATCAGATTCACGTGTTTTGGAGGGCATGCCGGTCATAAAGGGACAGATGGTCCTGATCTTTTGTGGGGCCCAACAAAGGGGCCCATTAGTGGGCCCAAAGATCCTATCCTACTAAAACAAAATCTGCCATTATTTTTGTGATGTCCTTGTTACCCCTCCTCCTTAAATGCTTACTTTGGCCTTTGTACCTGTATCCCGTGGACCCCACCTCCAAAGTTTCTTTGTCCCTCAAATCAGACATATTTGTTCCTAAATTGGCCCATTATGTGGACAAATTTTTGATGTTTGATTTGCTTGCTTGAATAGAATTTAGAAAAATTGACCTCTAAACTATTTTGGGTACCTTTTTTTAATTTTTTTAAAAAAATTAGTAATTGAGTGTGCGTCACTATTTATTGTTGTTGGAGCTTACTACAATATGCCAAAGTGAAGGTGACTAACATTATTGGAGGTATTGGTATACCAAAGTGATTTGTACAATTCTTTTTGGAATTCTTCAAAGAGTGGTTTTTTATTGCCAAATTGACGGCAAGATGTTTTCTACCCATTGATTATAAAAATAAATAAATAAATAGAAGAATTTAAGTTTCATTACTTGTGATGATGGTCCTTTTTCAATCAAGTTTTTTTTTTCTTTTTTTTTTTTTTTTTTTTTTGAGTTTTTTTTTTTTTTTTTTTTTTTTTTTTTTTTTTTTTGAAGTTTCAAGCTAAATGAATAGGACAGCAACATATAATGACTGATTGACTGTAACATTAAAATTCAATTTTTAATATTTTAATAACCGCTATTGAGTTTTTTTGTCCTCTAGTGATATGTAGATTTTAACTACTAACCGCTACTAGTTTCCACATAATTAAAATAAAACTTTTTTTATTGCCGACTTTTCTAGCAAACGAAGGAAGATATTTCTACTCGGCAACAAGCTTTTAATGTTTCCATTTAAAAGAAAAAAAAAAACCTTTTAATAATGTTGTGTACACTTGTTCATCTTTGAAAAATTAAACTAGGGGCATGGAAAGCTAGTATGAAAAGAACATAAATGCTGCAAAATCTATTTTATTGCATTAAGGGTCTTAATAAAAGATTACTAATAATTAACTTTACTTAAAGGGAAAAAAAAAATTTATAATAGTTTTGATTGACCATTTCTATACCTTGTGGTTTGGCCAAACGTCGCCTAAGCTTTTGATTTTGGCAACATGATTTGTAATAGTTTTACGTTTTGACTTAAACACTTTTTAGATTATATGCAATTTATAAAACCTTCTTTTTCGACTAAACTTTGTTGTAAATCCTCTTTGGAAAACAAAGAGCCATATTTGCAATAACAATTCCCACAAACTGAAGTAACAAGATTGGAAACACCTTCAAGCAAGATGTCATTTCAAAAGATGGTAAGGTGTTGTCATTTGTAACACAAAAACATGTTAATCTTACAAATGAACAAAAAGACTTTAGGAAATTGTGATAGTTTACAATTAAAAAAAAAAAAAAAAAAGTTTCTCTCACAATTAATGGAGCTTGACAAAGTTTGTGTTGGACAGATCAACAAAACTCCATTTTTTTTAAAAAGCAAAGCGCACATTAACATTAGTAACCTCATGACAACACATAGTCATATGTAAGATAAGTTTATTATATGCAAATATATATATATATATATAATCTTATATTACACATAAAAGATTTGTATCAATTAAATATTTACATTCACATATATTGTGTTGTAAGTAATGACAAGTCCAACTTGCCTACTTAAAAAAAGGAAAAATGACTTGTGCAACAATAATAAACACAATAAAATGAAGAATTGTTTGCTTACATTTTCAAATGAGACATGGAATTCTGCATTTGAAATTAATTATCCAACTTTTTTTATTCAGTGGGACCCAATTAATGAAAGAGCCTCTCCACTCTCTCTCGTATTATATATAATCCAAAGTTTAATAATACGTGATTTTAATATCCACTAGAGGGTAAGTGAGTGAGTGAAGCAATGCATAACCCTCCACTCCCCCCATATGGGATGAGATCACACACACATCTACTTATTTTATAATTGACTTCAATTGCCCCCCAAAACACAACTAAAAAAAAAAAAAAAACACATTAAACTCAATCACAAATCACATTCTATATGTATATATATGGATAAATTTTTAATAATTACGTCTCTATTAACAATCACCCTATTAAATAAATCAATTTAAAAATGTAACGTGATAAAAACTTAATTCATTGATTGCAATTAATTTTTTTAATCAATTATCAAATTTATTACGATCATAGAATCAATATTGTACGATAAAAATAATAATACTCATGAGTAAATATATATATATATATACATATCACGTGCCTCTCACGTGCAGCAACATACCTGACAAGTTTGTCTATTTTTAACTCCCTGAGTTTACTTGTATGGTAAAATTAGTTATTATGGTCAAAGGACGACCGTACCTCGTTCTATGATTATCCCTCAACATTAAAAAAAAAAAATAATAATAATAATAAAATAAACTTACCGCACCACCAAAAAAACAAAAACAAAAAAAGAAAAAAAGCAACAAAACAAATCATACTGTCAAATTTAGCAGAACCCGATTGATCTGTCTTTCCCCAGTTCGCTTTCCAATACCAGGTCATTTTTCCAGTGCCACTTTTTTTTTACACATTAATTACTGTACAATTTCACCAAACCGTATCAACACAAGTACAACTCCACGATAAAAACTTTCTTTTCCCCCCCTAAAAACAGGCATCTTTTACCCAATAATGTACCCCTTTTCTAATATTTAAGTTCTAACAACAATAGTTGAGGAAATTGCCTATTTAAGTGTACGTATTTGCTTATGTGTTTTTATCAAAATTTGAAGATTGAAAAAATCCTTTCATATTAATTAAAATTAGTAAAAAGAATCTTAAAATTAATATAAGTGAATCGATTAATGAATTAGCAAAAATTACGATATGTATGACTGACAATATGAGTTACGACACGATTTTTTATGGGTTAATGTCAAACAAATAAGTTAAGGGTCATTTTAGTGTCAACCCGAAATTGACCCGTTAAAAAACAGTTCGTGTTCATATCAACTCGCGTGACACTAAATTAACCTATTTAATTACTTTATTATTTTAAATATATATTGTTTTCCTACTTTTGATTGAATATGTTTTGAATTTTTAAGGCTTAATTAGTTGTTATAGTTTTGAATTGATTTAATTTTTAAAACATATATTTTATGTTATTTTTAAAGTAAAAAAATCACGGGTCATTGACAGGTTATGGATTGATTTTGGGTTGGACGTGTCGTGGGTTGATTGTGGGTTGTATATCACAAAGATAACGAGTTTGTGCGGGTTGTGTTAAGGTTGAGATTTCTCCACCCATTCGTGTCGCGGCTCGTGTTAAGATTGATGTCAACTTGACACGAATATGACTTCTCGATACAAATTACTACCCCTAATGTTAAGATATGTATTTTATTATATCAATAAGAATTGTGTTCTATATATTAGATTAATTTTTTAACAGTTTGTAAGAACAGTCCTGAACGCTTTAAATTTTTAATATCAATGTGCACGAATCTAATTGTTAGAAAATTAAAGTAAAATATCAGTTATTACCGCAAATCCCTTAATCAATAATAACAAAATAATGTGGTGCTGATGGCGGTGGTGGTCTGGTCCCAAAGCCAAAGGAACGTGCATAGGACGCGGCTTTGGCTCGTCCTCGTTCAACCACCACCAAACATCACACAAACTCACAAACACAATTCCACAGTAGCGCCTCGGGAATCCCAACAGCGTCTGATTCTGGAGGCCCACCCTTTTGGGTCCCACAAATCCATGATATTTCAGCTCACACGTCGTCGTCTCGATTACGCAAACGGTGCTGCACTGCATTAAACGTATTTTTGGTAAAAAAAAAAAAAAAAGTTTTGATTTTTGGGGGGTTGTTTGGCCTTGGTGGTGGAGTCGACTGCATGTCACTTTGTGCCAGGCCTTGTGGACTTTTTCCTACTTTGCATTTTCTTTTCCTTTTTCTTAATCATTATTTTTTTTACAAAATAATAATTGGAAAAAAAAAAAAAAAAGAGTGGCCGTTGCAGACATTGCTCAGCAACAGCGACATTTGCGCGCGTCCTACGTGTCAGCTTTGGCCACACACCTGTCGCTTTATTATTATTATTGTTTTTGTTTTTTTTGGCGCCATCGTTGACCCCACCAAGAAGAGGGCGCGTACGGTAAACGCTCCATTTATATTACCTAGTTGGTTTAGAAATGACTAGCTGTCGGGTTGATGCGCCTCGGGACCCACCAAAGCGTAATAAACAAAAATTTACATATGCTTAAATATAACCGTACCATAAGGATAATAAAAAAATAAAAAAAATAAAAAAAATAAAAAAATAAACATATGCACATATCCTGAGATGACCTTGACCCAGCCTTTTGCGCATTTACTCAGGTATTCATTTACCAACACTTTGCTAACATGCGCCGCAATCTTGCTAAAATGCTCCGTGTTATCCAATCTTAGAGAAATAATTAATTGTAATAACATTTACGTGCATATATAATATAGATATGTATAATTAAAGAAAGAGGAAAGAAAAAAGGAACTATGCTATAAATGGGCCCTATTTTCCCATATCCATTTGTTTTTTGGGAAGGATATTTGAATTTAATATCTTTTCTAACTTCCCTTTCCTAGAATGGAAAAATCCCATTCCAAGCGCACCAGATTTGCCATGTAAAAAGCAAACCCCAGAAGGCAGTAAAAAGATTTTTAAAGAAATATTCCCAGAAGTAAAGAATATGTAACAACATTAACCAGCCCACGTTGAAAAGTTGTGACAAAAAAAATAAAAAAAAAAACATAATTTGAAGAAGTAAAGAACCAATTAGTATTGATGAAAATTTTGGTGTTTTCTGTTCATTTTTTCATTTTTTTTTTGTTTACGATGACATGTTTACATGCACACTGGCGTTCTTGGTGGATTTACAGATGGGACAAGTGTGGAGCGACGACCCGCACACAGTGCAGAGGCAGAGATGCCTGCACGGCAAAAGCAAAACGCACGACTCCTCCTTCCAACAGTTCCTGCACATCCTATTATTATTCCCTCCACAGCTCACATTGCTCGTCGTTTCCTCCTTCACGTCGTCGTTTCTCCCCCTCCCGGTGATTCCCACCACCGCGCGCCACCCTCCTCCGACGTCGTCGTTTTCCCCGCAGCACGACTGCGCGTCGTCGGCGAGGTCGGCCCCGCAAGCACCGCCGTCGTCCCGATCCGCGTCGTCGTTTACTAATCCTGCGCCACCGTGGTCCTTAACCTGCGCCGCCTGCAGGACCTGCTCGAGATTGGTCCGCAGGGTATTGGCCGTGGCCTCGTTGCTCTGAGCCAGGTCGCGCCATATCTGATTCTCGATGCACAGAGACTTTACTCTCTCCTCCAACGCCCAATTCAGCTTCCCGATCTTCTCGATCTCTTCCTCTTTTGCCTTGAGCCTCTTCATCATCCCTACTTCTATTGCTTCCAGAATCTTCCTCGCTTGTCTCTTCCTCCTCTCCTCTATCTCCATCCTCACCTTCTCCATCTGAATCCGAACAAACGAAAATCAGAATCGAATGATAGAAGAAACATCGAGAAATTTCTCTGAAATTAGAGATTCAATTGTAGTTATTGCTAGATTATATGCTTACATGTTGAGAAACGAGACGATCGAGGTCGAATTGCTGTTGCTGGAGATGGAGAGAGATGTCTTCTCCGAGAAAGGAGAAAGGAGACAAAGAACTGCAGTTCTTGTTCATCGTTTGCGCTGTAGTGCTGATCGGATACGAGAGTAGAGGGTTGATCGAGTCTCTGGAGCGTTTTCTTGAATACGGCGTCGGATTGACGGTGTATGTGAGTCCGCTGTCGGAGGATTTCTTCGCGGTCTTCGGAGGATCGTTTATCGGAGAATTGTACGACGGGAGGAGAGCCTCGGCGGCGATCGCTCCCGCCGGCGGCAATCCGTAAAGTCCCAGATTACTCTGGTGATGAGCGTTGGTGAAGATGTTCGCGTTTGTCTCAATCGGATTCATGATTTCTCTGCGGAAAACATATACACACACGCCGTTCAGATGATATAGATATATAGAGAGAGAGAGAGAAAGTAAGTTAGAGAAATGGGAAGGAAAAAATTTACCTGTTGCCAATGAGTTGAGGAGGGAAGAGATTGAGGTGACGAGCTTCAACGGCCATGGGAGAGATCAAGGAAAGCTTCAGTATTCTTGTTGATGATATGATGAATGATGAATCTCTCTCTCTGATCTTTGGCCTATATATACGTGTGTGTGTATATATTTCTGGCTATATGTATATGCGTTTTTTTGGGTTTTGGTTCTTGAGTTTCTTGTTTGTGGTTCCGTTTGGGTATTGGTTTTGGTGATTTAGAGAGAGAAAGATGGAGAGAGAGACTGAGACCGTGTGTTTGAGGGGGAAATGAACAAAGTGGCATGCAATAGAGGTGGCAAGGCTATATATGGTGGGGTTTATTTAGGGTTTGGTTTGGTTAAAGAGAGAGAAACAATAATATAAAATTTGAACAGAAGCAATTAAGAAATAGACAATTTACTTTTTTTTTTTAAAAAAGTTTCTGATTTTATGTGAGGGAAAAGAAAGTCAGATAAAGAGGGTAGGAGAGAAATTTTTTTTGTTTGTTGGTTTTGGTTTTGTCTATTTTTGGATTGTGTTTACCATAAAGGACCCTCCTCTCATTACTCCTCTTTTACTTGACTTCTGCTTTTTAACCAACAGAGATTTGGTCAGTCCGTAAATCCTGCGACTTACCAGGGGCATTTCCGGAATATTGGCTCATGTTTATCGTAACTACAGATAGATTTGTTCTCCTTTTCCCTTTGTTTTTGTTTTTGCAGTTTGATTCATGAATTAAAATTATAAGATTAAAATTATTTTTTATTTATATATATTTTTTATAAGAAAAAATATTATAACAAATCATAAACTATAATTTAAATTATAATATGAATTTTCTTACTAAACGTCTTTACATTTTTATTATGTAGGAGATTCTGCATTTGTTACTCAGAACATGTTTAATTTATGTGTTTAAATCAGTTAATTTTAATTTTAAATTTTTTATAAAAAATACTGTAAGATAATAACAATTATTGATTTAAAGGTATGAAATAAACTTTTTTAACTGACGCAATAAAAAAAAAAGTTTCCCAAAAGCAAAAATAAAAGAATACTGAGGTGGGAATACCGACAGTTGGAGCATTGCCACGTGGACCTGCCGACTGGGGCCTGCGAGTGCGAGGCCTCGCCACGAGAGCACAACTACACTCCAAAACATACAAAACGCCTTTACTCAATTCTAATATCTCTCTTAAAATTGGGACCCACTATGAAGACGTGTGGGTCAGGGTGGGTTGGGGAAGAGGACAAGGTTTACCCTTCTGGACACGTGCGAGGGGCCAGCGTGGAAGTGAGGGTCCCACGCCTGGTCCATTAATAGGAGTTATCAAAAAATAAAAAATAAGTAAAAGTAATAAAGAGGCGTCAGAGGGCCCCACCAGTGGCCGTTTGGGGGTGGGTACGGTGTACCTGTACTCTAGTGCCTGATCCATTTGGCAGTTTCTTACTTTGAGGACAGCCTATTTCACGGCTTCTCGCATGGGAAACGTTTGAACAGTCTCTTGCTCAGCTTTTGGACTGTTCCGTCTTCCACGTGTCAAAATCCCACTTACTGTCTTTTGGACGTTTTGTTTTCTTCCCCACTCTCACTATGCTACGACCTCAGCACCGCCCAATCACAGCCGTTTATTTTTTGCTCGCAAAGGATCCCCCTAAATTGTTGATTAAAGTCAGGCTAAAGGGGGCGATGGTTAATTCGGTGGACCTTTAATTCACATATTTAAAATTATAATTTAAAATTATTTTTAATTTATGTGTATTTTTTAATAAAAAAAAATATTATAATAAGTCACAAATTATTATTCAAATCATAATATGAATTTTTATATTAAATATCTTCTTAATTAGATGATAATACTACTCATAATCGTAATTTTGTTAAAATTTTGTGTTTGAGTTAATTGCATCGTAATAAACGAGGTATTATTTGAGAAATCTACTGTGAAGGAACCAACTGCCACACAAGAAGCTAATACTGATTATCAAGATTATAATATATATATATATATATTTATTTATTTATAAGAAAAGAGCTACAATGGCCACTAAATTAATTAGAGCAGCATAGATATCTTTCTTTCTTCTCTTCCTGTGCACCCATTATTTGTTACTCTAAACATAACTCTATTTTGATTTTTAAGATCCGTGTATAATTAATAAGATGTGTCACGTTAAGTAACATTTGGGTCTCAATTATTTTTTTTTGTAAAATTAGGCCTCCTTTACGTTATATTGATCAGTAATACATGAGACGAGTTAACACGAAGAATTTCATTTTTTGACAAGAAAAAATAATACCAATTACTATTGTATACAACACCACGAATTACGCGAGATAGGGCCCACATGAGAGCATTACGTGCTTAAGACTTATGGTAAGGTTTGATATTTAATATCTTAGCATCCTCTAAAATTTGATTCATTAATGACATTTAAAGATGTAAATTTCAATGACTTTTAAAAAAAAAAAGAGATAAAAATAAATAAATAAATAAAGATAACAATCCCCACTCAAAATCTTCCCCAACCTCTCCCCATGTTATTAGACGAAAGGGCCTTTAGCCACGTAAACTTTAATGACTTATTTTGGACAAAATTATTAGATATATTTGTTTACTTGCGAGATAAAAAAGACTATAGTACTAATATTTTGCAGTGACATGGCTCTTCATCAATTTGCACGGGTACCCGATTGCTCATATCTATATTTATTTAAATATTGTGCTTAACGTGATCCGATCTTAGCACACCTTGATATATATTAATATATAAAAATTATAATTCTTTAGGACATGTTTGTTTCACTGTATTAGAATACCGTATTGTATAATAATATATATAATGTTTGGTGTGACCATCGAATTATATAAATTAATACAGTATATATCGTATTATTAAATACAACTCATTTTTAACGTATTATATTGTATTATTTTATAATTGATCAATAATTTATGTCGAAATTAGATCAGGGTTAGGTTAACATAGGATCATACCGGAGCCTAATGAAAAATTTAGAGGCACAATGCAAATATTTTTTAAAATTATATTTTGATCTTAAAATTTTTTAAATTTTACATTTTGATCCCAAAATTATTAAAATTTTTCATTTTAACTTTTTATACAATATATCATGACACAAAATATCGTATTATATTATAATAATATAATATAATATAATACATTTTATACAATACAATACAAGATAATATAAGATATGACCTTAATGTTTAATGCAAATGGCTCGATCGGTCGAATTGTCTATACAATATTACACATAGCGTATGAGAATTGACTTAAATTTTTGTCTCGGTATTGCTTTAATTATTTAGTCTGGCTGACACATGTTGAGAAAGTACTTAAGTGATGAAATTATAGACAGACAACTCTGACATGATTCTTTACTTTCCAAATAGAGTCACATCTGGACTGAGTGAAAAGAATACATGGACCCCTCCTGTATTAATGTCATTAGAATGCTCATAAATTAATTGGCCTTTTAGCCTTGAATCTTCCATCATTTAGTTGATTTTAATTTTATTCATTGTTTTTGCCCAAAATTTATGAAATCGATCCAAGTGCATGCACGAAAATTAATGGATATATAAGGACTCGTTTAGTTTGTTGATTTGAGTTTTTAATTTGAATTGAGATGTAATTTTATGTGAGAATTTTTTACTGTAATAAAAAAATTAAATGTGACTGTTTATGAAAATTTGTTACTGTAGCAAAACTCGAATCAGCGACATGAACGGGGCCAAAATATATATATTCAAAACGATAAACTGTTAGAAAGCAATATTTCACTCGTGTATATATATATGTGTGTGTGTCATACTTCCTTATTTGGCCTCTAATTATAGTGTGCCTTCATTTTCAACATTAAGAACAGTATTTTCTACATTAAGAACAGTGTATTTTCTACATTAAGAACAGTTAACAACGTAATCGTAACAAATCGTAAAATTAACATCTTTTTCGAATGGAATATTATAGAATTCAAAACCAGTTTCAACTTTCCAACGCGTTTATGCTCATTAATTCCACAAATATATGAGATGTTAATTTGCACATCCTTCCGTTTTAGTTAGACTCTCGCAATTACAGCCTAATTTCTTGCAACTGAATTTTTCATCAAGTTGACGCAAGCTTTTGACCAACTTGGTATGAAATTTTGACGCACAACCAAAACGTCGCGATCCTCTTCCCTTAAGTCTTAACTAATCTTTTTTTTTTTTTTTTTTTCCTTGTTTTCAAAGTTCACATTCTTAATTCTCATAGTGACGGATATATATATATATATATAACCAAATTCATGTGTATATATTTGTACACATCATCGAGTAGAATTTGAATTACAGTTAGCATCAATGACTTTTCATGGGGTTCAGTTTTCCACGTGGCACTAATTAGCGCTTCAAGTTTTCTCTCAAAAACTTCGTCCCTAAGAGTCAGCTTAGAATTTTAACGGATACTACATATACATATATATATATAGGCAAGATCTATGGTCAGACACTTAAAAAGTGTCTAATCAGAATGACGTTTGTACATTTTTGTATGAAGTGTGTATTTACAGTAAGTTGTGTATATTTATAAGTAAATTGTGTATATTTACATGTCACTTATATAATTATGCAATCGTGTATATTTACATGTAAATCGTGTATATTTACATATAAATCATGTATGTTAAGTGATAAGAAACGATAATGTATATTAATCCTTAAAACATATTTTTTTTTATAGTAATTAGTGAACACATAGCATAAAAATATGTATAATGACTGATTTATTATATTTCATGTTAAATATACATGATTTTACATGTAAATATACATAATTTACGTATAAATATACATAATTTATATATGATTATACAAATGTCTGATTGGTCAAACACTTTCTAAGTGTCTAACCAGAAACAATTCCTATATATATATATATATATATGAAATTGGATAGTACACAATATTGACCCCATAAAATAGCAACAACATGAGGATAAATATAAGAGGAGTACAAATGTGAAATGTCAAATGTGAATGCATATATTATTCATTTTTCACTATCATTACGTACGGACATAATTATGGCAGCCTAGATCCCAAATAAAATAATTTGTTTAATACTAATTTTCTAACCCCCACCAATTCATTCCCATTACCTAGATCTTGCCAACTAAATACGCTAAAGAAAGGCGTTTCTACAAAGTTCCAGCACTTGTACTAATAATATAAAGAAAAGTATATATACCATGCGGATATATATTTTTTAAAAGCCTTGAATTAATCCACAAATACACGCACT